ATGTACCTCAAGTTTGTTAACATATTTACTCCAAATCTGATGGGGCCAGAACATACGTGACTTCGGTATCTCATTCATATCTTCCAGATAATCTCTGATAATGTTTGTTTTCTGAAATTAGTGCAAAAGAACGAATAAGGAACTCGCTCTTTAAAATCCATAGATCTTATAAATGAATGGTGAATACTGCAATGGTTGCAATGCATAGCAATACCTGAAGAAATAAACCCATGGAGTTGGATAGAGCATCAGAAGCTAGATCTTCTTTTCCAGAAGCATGAAATAGCTTCGACAACCCTAATCCAACAAGTCCAGCTACATAGTGACAGTATTCATCATATTCACCCACCGTTTCTACCTGGAAAGACAAAAAAGTTCTAAGTGGTATTGCCTATGTCATTTCACTTGTCTTGCACAAAGGTAAATTAGAAGTTAGAAGCCTGGAATATTATTCATCACCAAACTATCTATTAATCATGTAATCTGTCACTTTTAAGTAGGCATGTATGGTATTAGATGAAATGCATCTAACATAGTGGGGAAGTACATTGCTGAAAATATTGTGAGATGGAATAAAAAACCAATTGGATTCCAAAAGATAATCTCAAGAATTTAATAGAAAGCTAAGTCGAAAACAAGTAGAGCATATTTGATGATTCTTCCAGATGAATGATAAACCACCGCAAACATGATGGTTGAAACATACCTCCTTGCATATAAATTTTGCCATTCCTGCGCCCATCCTCATGGTAATATCCTCAATTGCCTCCTTATAACTGAAAAAATATTTAAGACTTATCTGGCATTTACAGAAATATGCATATTATGTACACAGAACTAGTTACTGGTCAATGTAACTTCAAATATGAGTGTCTATTTTCAGAAATATAACAAATATAAAACATATAATATGCGACCTTTTGTTAACCAAACTCTATATGTTGGTTATTGCTATTTCTTATCTCTACATGTTTTGTGGGTGCTAGAGGATAATACCAGCTTAAATAAGCCAAAATATACTTTAGTTTCGAATATTGAGGCACGAGAAGTTTCAGCTGTTGAAATTATTAACATTGGAAACACGGACCAAGGGGCAACCAACCATCAACCAAAAAGCAATATTTTAGCATGTGTTCGAAATATTTTGCTTTCAGACTCCATGATCCAAAATATTGATCAATTAACAACCAGGGCAACTAAAGATGGTGAAATCTCCATGTTCAGTTCGGGATACTAATTAGACATCAATATCAATTATCCCAAGATTTAAAATGCCTTCGCGTTTGATTTCATAATTAGGAAAAATAACAGAAAACCCTATTCTTTATCTTCTTCTCAAACAGGCATGGACATCTTGAAAGAATTTGAGTAGCTCTTACACGACTTCTTTTTCCAGAGAATCCATTTGCACCATTTATCTAACTTTCTAGGACCAAATTTTACCAAAAATCTTACCTAGTACCAAAATATCATTGAGTTTCGAATACCTACAGGGCTTTCTAGTTATCAATATAGTTTTTTCCAAGCCCATGCAACAAGATTCATGCATGACAAACTGGTCACTTGAAATATTCAGCAATATTATTTATCATAATATTAATATTTGTTCAGTGGACCTTTTATAAGACATAGCTTGGATAAATAGAATTGCATAAAACATTCACACAGTTGACCTTAAGTATATTTGGATAAGGCTTAGTCGTTCTTATTTTTATGAGTGGATACTATACAAATAATCTTACCAACACCAACAAGATTAAATTAAATTTGGTAATACCACAAAAACAAAACTTGTTAGTTAAGGAAAACCTTCTTCCAAGCTCCAGAAAAGCAGTAGAAACGTGATGAAACTCATCCATGAGAACTTTGTAGTCCTTTGTGCCACCTTTTGAAAAGTATAACCACTATTAGGCAGCTAGCCTAGAGTAGTATATGTTTTATTAGGCAAAAAACAACTTAAACTCACATGAAAAATGCCACTCACGATCATATACGTGTTGATGAAAAGCCATTAGGATGGGTACTTTAACGTCTTTGGCTATGCTTGTATCATCCTCTGCAAAAGAATTATGCAAAAGTGAATACGATAGCTAGGCTGACGTAGTTTGAGTGGGAAATAATATTCTGGAAAAAAGAGAGTATGAAGGAGATTTATGATAACAGTTCAATAATTATTCGATTGATAAACTTGGAAATTCAAGGAGTCGTGACTTAGAAGAGTGAGAAATGTTGGTGGAATAAAAGAAATTTACAGAAGCAGGGCATACCAACTGTGTCAAGTGCTCGGAGAACCAAGTAGAAAATGCATACCTGCCAAATTTGAGAAAATATGACATGAAGACCAATCCTTGTGTGGAGAAATATATTAGACAAAAATGATATTATGATACTCCTCAAGTCCGAACAATTAGTCCACAAAATTATAATTTCATCAGAGAACTCATGGAAGCTTTGCTGATTATTGTCAAATTACAGCCTAGTCAATAATCAAATCATTATCACTGCAATACAGAATAACATCCATTATTTAAGCGTTCAAATTATGTCCGCTGCAACGTACTATTGATAACAATCTTTGGTTCATTTCCAACACCTTTTGGATAATGGATACCCAAGTAAATAAGAAAAAACTATAGCTTTTGTGCTCTTCAGAAGATCATTTTTAACATTCAGATAAAAAATGTTAAGTAGAACAGTTTTCTAACTTACAATTCAGTTAAAATGCCTGGCATAGACTCCTGATAACTTCCATGCATTTCACATAAACATTTTACTTAAGGAATGCAAAAATACAACACAAATATCACTTACCACAAAAAATGAAAAGAATAAAATATAGATCCAGAAAGTTTTGTTTTTCGATAGATTTAGTGGTAAAATCTACTCATCCTTCCCAAAGTACCAAAACAGCCGGCTATCAACGGTGTCAGAGCCACACGGGGTCCATTGGGGGGACACTGACCCAACAGATTTTAATTTTATTTCCAAAATCAATTGGGGGACAGTGACCCAATAAAAAATCACTTTTATTTCCAAAATTTTAATTTTCATTCTTCCCCTCTTTTTAGCTTACTGTGCAAGACTTCTCCTCTAAATCATCAATTGATTTACCATTCCTCCCCATTACTGCTAGGTCGTTCCCAAAAATAAAAAATTGCAACTTAATTTTTCCCCCCCTGGATAAAAAAATGTCTTGCTAGTTTCTGCCCCTGCCAATATCCAACAAATGGGGGAAATGGGCAGTGCTTATTTTCCTTTAGATCTTTGTAGCTTCGTCGTTAATTTCAGAATATTTAACTCACTGTTATAGCAACGATCAAATTGCATGCAATTGCTGAAAAATTGTCCTTTCAAGACATGAAATCTGCAACTAAAATAACACGAGAAAAAACCTAGCGAGTAAGATCAATCATAAAAGAAAAAAGCAGCTTACTGCATCACGAAGATCGGTGTCAAGTTGTTGAATAACGAGTGCGAAACTTCTGGAGACCTTGTGGAGCATGGTGTAACAAAATCCCCAGTGTGGCTCCGCAGGGATCTGCTTCTCCGCATGCCTCGCTGCCATTTTCAGCTTCAACAACGGGTACAAATCATCCGGATTGCTCAAAATCGCCTTCAAACTCCCCATTTTCCTAACGAAAACAAACAAATAATCATATTATCACAAAAAAATATATACAAATTCAAATAATTCTATTGTGCTCCTTACTTCTGGTATGAATCGAAAGCTCGATCGGCAATGTGAATGGATGAACGAATGAATGAATGGCGGGTGGTGCACTTCATTTATTGAGTGCAGATTGTACGGACATAGTGACGTGCGTGTGCTGAAAAGGGGTAAAAGATTAAATAGTTTTTAAATTGGAGTTTGACTCACCGTTTTTGCTGGAGCCAGAGAGAAGGATTTGAGTGTGACGCGTGTGGGGCTTTGGGTTTGAAAT